TCTCTTTCCTGATCCAGCAGTCTCTGGGGCTGGAGTGAAATACAAGGAAAGAGCGGTACAGTTGGTCTGTCAAGTGAGAATAATCATTTGTGTCTGTGCCTGTCTGAGGGCACAGTTCTCTGATTTCTCTTTAGGCATGTGTGTGTGAGTGAGTGTGTGTGTGTGTGTGTGTGTGTGTGTGTGTGTGTGATATTTTAGGTAAACATTTCATTTTGCAGATACTGTGCTTGTATTATTAGAGTTCCATTTCATTTATTCATGGGAGATGAGAGAGAGCTGGTGTGGAGCAGATGTGAAATTTACATTTGCTTAGCTCTGTTGCTTGTGTAAATATAAAAACTTCCGTTAAGTACAAACAGCAACTGTAATAAACATACTGCCTTTACAACATTATTACTTTTCTCCAGATTTTAGGAATATGTAATGGATAGTGAAGAAGAATAATCCTAGAAATATTGCAAGGAAGAATGGAATATATATAGCAAAGACTTTAACAAGAACAACCAAACTATGAATTATTTCTGTGCAAATTATCGACAGACTTAAAGCAGGGTTATAAAAGAATCGTGGTTTCCAGTTTCTTTTATTTTAAAAGTCTTCTCAAACATTTTTCCATTTAAAAATGCATTTTATGGCAATGGCATTTATAAGGAAAGCAGTTTGTCTAAGTTATCTTTTTTATGTCCTCAATCTCCAAAGTAACCAGTCACTAAGTGTTTTATAAGAAAAAGTTCCTGGTTTATGTTGCCAGAACAGGTGTAGATGACTTCACACAGAGGCAGGTTTGTGACTCTCAATGAACCGGAGGTTAAGGTACCTTAACAGTTGTTTTCCTCCGATGCAAAAGGGCAGGGAAAATGCAGTTCTTACCCAGAAAGAGTGGCCAGAGATGCTTCCAGGCAGGGAGACGGAGCCCCAACACCCATCTCCCCAGCCCTCTCTCCCATCTGAGCCCAGATGATTCTTGAGCCATTGCTAGAATTTGCCATCCATTGGAATAGAACTTCAAAGGGAAAATGAGACAGGATGGCAATTCCTTTTCAACTCAAGGCGCAGAACGGATAGAGTTCCCTGGAGTTGGGGGACTGAGTTCTCAGCCAGAGGGCAATCGGCAAAGGGATTACTGGGTGGTGGAGAGCTGTCTCTCCCCTTTTCATCACCTCTCCCCACGCACAAAGGAAAAACTGGATGAGGCGGGCCCAGAAGATCCCACTGGGGGTGATCACAGGGGAATCCAATCTTTCTTTCAGGCCCCAACCAGGTGTAGTATAGGGGGAAACATCATGTTTTCTCATGTCATCCTTTCCTCACGTCTCACTTTCTTAAATATCCTTCTTTCCCACTACGAGGGCCTTCTCTAATTTGCATGGCTTCACGAATATTAGCAAGATGGGCATGGGAATTCGTATTTCACATGACTTGACGGGCCTAAGAATGTCAGCAAGGGTTATGAATTCCCCAAAGTTCTCTCTGACGCTCTTATGACACTGGATCATTGTAGTTTAAGGGCTTCTTGCATTTCTGCTTAGGGAGGTACAGCGTGGATAAAATGCTCTGCTCTGCACCGGAGCCCACTCAGCCGGCTGGAGGTCTGCTCAGGACTGCCCCAAAGGCCAGTTCCAGTGAGTGAGTCTCCCCACCAGCAGCCTGATACTCAGGTCAGACGCAGCTCAGGAGACAGGCCTCAGCCATCGGAATCTTGTGGCTGGGGAAGTGCTCCCTGTGGGATCTGATCAGAGAGCTTGTGAGTGCTCCTGCGGGCGCAGCAGCATGCAAAGAGCCTCGTTCAGGGAGGACTACTTGGAGAAGTGTGTAGCAGAGAACGCACTGCTCTGCTTTCCGCGTCCACTGCGTGCCCAGGGACAACTTCTAAAAAGCAAGCTGGAACTCAGTGCATTTTATTCATGCTTGCACACTGCAGTGATCCATGCCAATGGAACATGGATTAAAAAACCCGCAGAGAAGTCCAAAGTTAATTTTAGCGATTACATCAACGTCCGAACTTCAGGCTAACTCTTCCACGACTTGGTTAGGTTGGGTGTGAAGAGCTTCAGCGCAGTGAAGGCTAATTAAATACCAAAGTGAATGAAGAGCAGCAGTGAAACATTCTTCTCGGAGGAGAATGAAAAGCTGTGTCTGACTGACTGGTTAAGGTAGTGACATCTGATGAAGGGTCTGGACAGTGTCCTAAGATAGTTCCTTTGAGACCTGGGATTCTGTAGGCTCTACTATTTGTTGCCCTGCCTCTTTCTTTCCTTAGTCATCTATTGGAGGGGGTGATAAATGAAGCCCACAATTGAGAAGCCAGAGACAAACCAGAAGTGGACAAGCACTGTGCAATCAGACAAGGTGTAATCCTGTAGCTGAGCTGCCTGGGTTGGCATCCTGGCTCTGCCACTGAGTGTCTATATGACTGAGCAAATGATTTCTCCTCTGTGAGCCTCTGTCTTCTTGTCAGTAAAAAGGGGATCATAACAATAAATATCACATAGAACTGTTGTGAGGCTTTAATGAGTTGACCTATATATTCCAGTAAAGCCCTCAGACAAGTGCCTGGTATATGAAAAGCAATTAACATTAGTTATTACTACTGTTATCATATCTCATGCAGTGTAGCCACATAGTACCTTCCATCTGAGTGGTAGAGAGTGGTGTGATTTAAACTGGGACTATCCTAGGCAAACTGGGACATAAGGTTACCTTACTTATGAATGATAGCCAACACAGTTCATAGTTTCATTCTTTAAACGCTTGACAAAACAATAATAGGTCCTTGCAATGATCATAATCTACTTCATAGCTTCCCAACATGATAGGAAGAGAGGATGGGTAACTTTGTGAAGTCATGCTCTGAGTAAGGCTCCTTAACTGCCCCCAATTTCTGTGACTGTTATTCAAGATAAATGATATTTGCCTCTCGTGTTATAATGAAGGTCAGGATTTGAACTAATGTTATGTTTTAACAATCTACAAAGGCAACTTGAGTATAACACAAAATATTTCTCTCAGAATCACACAAATTATGTTGGTGTCACGAGAAAACCATAAGTTTCTTAATATTTTCCACCTAGTGGTAGCTTTGGTTTCTTAGCCTAGCTTATTAAAATATAAAAATGACCAATATTTCAAAGACATATTTTAACCAACAACTCTACTGTCTTAAGCATTTAGAATTTAAGAAGTAACAATAATTCTTTTCTGGAAAAGAATAAATGCAGCCCAACCAGCATAGTTAAGCAGTTTAGCATCAAGCCAGGAACCATGGGGCCACCGGTTTGGTTCGATTCCCAGTCAGGGCACATGCCTGGTCTGGTCACAGGCTCGATTCCCCTCAGAGGGCATGCAGGAATCAGCTGATCAATGCTTCTCTCTCATCATTGATATTTCTACCTCTCTCCCCCATCCTCTCTCCAAAAAAATTTTAATAATCTATAATAATAAAAGGGTAATATGCTTATTAACCAGACATCATTCCGGATGTCCTTCCTGATGAAGCCAGGGCAGAGGGAAGCCAGCCGGGGGCCCTGGATGCCAGAGGGGTGTCGGTGGCAGGAGGAAGGCCTACTCTTGCACAAATTTTCATGCATCAGGCCTCTAATATATATATAACTGTATATCTAACTGAATGATATACGGATGGTGCATTCAGTGCCATCTCTGTTTCTGACTCCATGAATGCTAAGAGGTAAGTAAGACCTGAGCTGCTATGGCCACAATTGATTTTCTCACTTGTAAAAAGAGAAGGGTGATACATAACGTTTCATTCCAGGCTTGATGAATAGAGGGGTTATTATCAGGTTTCACAGAACTGCAAACACTTTGGAAAAGCAAAAAGTAACATCTATATACACACATGTATATATATGATAAAGTAACTTTACTTTCTGACATCAGATCATACTGCTATATTTTATTCTACTAGAGAAACATAAGACGATTTATTTTCTTTGTATGAAACAACACAGGGGCCTTGTAGTAAACAGACACCTTTAATGTTGGTTTCTTCTTCCTCATCACCTTCGGCTTTGCCCAGTGCACAGACCCCTTCCCCTGTTTCAACAAGGAAATGACCAAGTCATGACCACAGAGACCGAGGAAAATATTCGAGGTATTGGAGACTCCATGGAACATTCCTTCCCCTTGTGATTCCTGCTTCTTCATGGAGACAGTTGGGGGTCCCTTGATCCTTTTTTAATTTCTCATTGGGGGAGGAAATCGAGGGACAGAATTTGTGGAAGAGAAGGCAGAGAAAGGTTTCTTCTTTCATCGTAAAGTGTTCCTTGTAAAAAATATGATATTTACACACACACACACATATAAAATATATCCAGTGCAATTGCAATTGTTATGCCAAACACTGGGAAGTGCCACCTTGGTCGATGTATTTCTGGAGTTTTAAACAGTTGTCCTACAACAGCTGCATTTCAGTAAGACGTGGGCAGGTGGCTCCAGATGAGCCACTTGCCACTCATAAGCAGGCTGAGGCTTCCACAATCCAGAGGAAAAAAGTGTGTCTTTGTGCCTGGAGTCAGGGCTGTAGGGGGGAGTGGGCAGGAAGGGAGCTGCAGGCTTCCAAGGTGAGGAAGAATGATGGGCTTCTTTTTAAGTCTCCAATGCAAATACAAATACATTTTAAATCTGAGGATATTGACATCAGTAGTGCTGTGATCACACTACGTAATGAAATAATTCACATCAGCATAGAAAATATTCACACCAAAAAGTCCGTATGTCTTTCCCAAGTGACCTCACCACAGATATTTCTGGGGATTTGCCCAAAGTCATTAACCACAATTCAGAGTCTTTGGATATGCCCTTTTGACAGAAGGAATTCTTTTGAGATGACATTTCTGAGGTGTGTGATTTGGTTTTCCCGACACAGGGAGAAGTTCGAAGGCTCTGCCTTTCCCCATGTCCTCATCCTTGAAGTGAGAGGCACAGATGCTGAGCCTTCTGGCCGGTCAGAAGGGAAAGGAAAGGGGGAGCCCTGGGTCAGCAGGTCAGCTCAGGAGGGACGCACCACAGAGGGGATAGCGGCGAGCTGCAAACCAAGATCAGAAGCCGTTACAAACCCACTCCATTCAGCTCTGAGCGTCACCAAGGGCGCTAGGCAGAGACCTATGGGGAGGAAGGTGAGCTGTCTAAAACCAGTACAGATCCTTGCTTTTGTCCTGAAGCTGCAAACCTGAAAGCAGAGAGAAAATAAAAGAGAGAGAGAGGGAGGAGAGGGGGGTGGGGGGGCAAGTAGGGAGAAGAAGGAGGTGGGGGAGGGGAGGCACAAGAGAGTTAAGGAAAGGGAAAGAGAAAGACAAACACCACTGTTTTACTGTGGAATTCACAGAATTTATCTAACGGGCATGAACGAAAGTAAAAGCAAAGCCAACAGAAGTGCCAAATCTTCACCCGAGGGACGGGGGAGTGGGCAAAACTACAAGCCAGTGATTGTATTTATAACTCTCTCTCTTTTTTCATTTGTCCTAAAACTAAAGACAGCAAAAAAGCAAAGCTTTGTCTGAATGTACCTTTCAAATTCAGCCCTTCAAGCCAGGAACATTGTTATTCTTAAGTTTTATGTTTTTAAGAGATTTGCCTAATTTGGCACTTACGTTGATAGTCATCATATATTTTTCCTTATAACTGTCACTGGGTGACCAGACATTCCCCCTGCCTCCCCATACCCCCAAGCTGCAGAGGGTTTTAAACTGCACCCTTCGCAGTGACCAATACAACACATGGGAACCACGTGCATCATTCTAAATTTCCTGACAGCCACATTGGGGGAAAAAAGTATAAAGAAACAGGTGAGACTTCGTCTTAGTGATATATTTTACTTAGCCTAATATATTAAATATGCAATGTGATGAAAATAACTCAACATGCACTCAATATCAAAATATGAGTGAGATCCATTTTACTTTCTTTTTTTTTTTTCCAACAAAGTTTTGAAATCCATTGTGTATTATGCACTTCAGGCCCATCCCAGTTCCGCCTGGCCACATTTTTAAGTGCTCAACAGATACACGTGGCTAGCGGCTACACAATTGAACAGCGTGGAACTAGAACCTTTCCAACAAATGGTATTTAAAAAAAAATCCTCTGTGACATCTACCAGCTAGGAGGGTAGGGCAGGGTCCTTCTTTCCCATTCTGCTCCCCTCTCCCCAGGACCCAGGGTCACCTGTCTCCCGAAACACAACCCCAAGGAGGACCCTATAGGGGGGTCCCGCGCTCAGCCCAGGGTGAGCCCAGCCCGCTCCCCTCTTACCTGAGTCCACGCTGAGGCCCAGCCCCGGGGCCACGTCTCCCGCGGGGCCGGCGAAGGGTCCCCCGGGCGCGGCCCACGCGGCGCCGGTGGGCTCGCCCTTGGCCGCGAGCTCGCAGGGGGGGCTGCCGGGCGCGGGCGCCGGGGCGAGTGCCAGGCGGGCCGGGCGGCCGGAGGCGGCGGGCATGAGCAGCGGCCCGTAGCGCGGGTCGAAGTGCGGAGCGTAGACCTCGTGCACGGCGGCGGGGCGCGGGTAGGCGCTGCCCAGCGCGTAGGGGTGGTGCGGGTGCGGGTGCGGGTGCGGGTGCGCGGGGTGCCAGGGCTCGGCGGCGCCCTGGTGCAGGTGGCCGTGCAGCGCGGCCGGCGCGTAGGGGTCGGCGGCGGCGAAGGGCAGCTCCGAGTGCGCGGCGGCCAGCGGGCTGCCCAGCGGCGCGGGCCCCGGCGCCGGGTACGCGCTGTTCCAGAAGGAGGCGGGGAAGCTGCGCTGGCTCATCGGGTAGGAGCCGTCTGCGGGCCGGCCAGCCGGAGGGGAGAGAAGGGGGAAAAGAGCTTGTTAACGCCGGGAAACGCCGTCGATCGCGCCCCCCGACCCTCCAAGGCTGCGGGGAGAGCCCAGAGCGCGGGGCCCGCCGGCGGCCGGAGAGCGGCGGCTGGGGGCGGGTCGGCAGCCCAGTCTTTGGGGCGGCGCCTTCCAAAGGGGCTGGAGCCTGTGAATTCAAGGTCCGGGCTCCGGAAAATAGAAAGGGGGGATGGGGACCCTATGGGGCGCAGGTCCGCTCCCTAGATTTTGCAGACCCGGGGATGGTGGGAAGCGGAGGAGCGGAGAGACCTCCTCCCCAAGCCCCTGTTTCGGGGCGCAGGCAGTTCACCTAACTCCTCTCAGCCGCCTCCCCGGCCTCGGGGCGGACGTGGCTTCCCTATTCCCATCCGCTGCCTCCAAGCCTGGACACTCTTCTTCCCGCTCTTGGTCGGCCGCCTAGCCCTCTCCCGGCCCCTCTCGCGTTTCAGCCTCCCTTGTTCTTGAAAACGCGCCTCGGATAGACTAGAAGTCCATAGACATAGTTCGAAGTCTTGCTATTATTAGCCTCCTTGCTAGAAACCTTCTTTCCGATATTATTTTTTTTCCAAGAACAGAAAACTAGACACACTACAAGGGCAGCTGTCTTATCTGCACAAAGGGACGGGATGGGAAAGGTCCTTTGAGTTTTAATGAACAAACTTTGTGCATCAAAGGATGGATGCCAGGCTTCTAATTACTATTAGTATTGTTATTATGATTGCTGTCAGCATCGCTGTGGGTCCCTAGGGGCTGGGAGCATTTTAAGAGAACAGCATTTAGATCAGATGTGTTGCCTTCGGTTAGGAGGGAAGGAAAGAAAGACATTGAACTCATTATTGAACACCTCTGGGGAACGCATCTGTACACCTAGAGAAGGTAAAATACTTTTAAAATACATTCCAAATAATGAACAGTCTCCCTCTTAAAGATATGTAGGCGTCTGAATAATAAAAAAGAATGTTCTGTATTCAAAATGAATGTTTTTGGAGCTTGTCTAGGCGAGGTTTTTACAAACTTTCAGACTCAAGGGGAAGGGGGAAAAAAGGAGGATAAGAGTTGTCATTTTCCCCAAAATGTAATATTTGTTTTCCTTCTTACAACAAAGTCCTGGTTTCTCAGTTCAGTACATGTTAAAAACTGAGCTTGGTGAGAAAGTTTACCGAACAGTTAACTGTAGTTTTGTCTGGGTAATAAGGGAGGTGGAGATTTCAGAATAGAAGGAACATATAGTTGACTTGTCTAAGAAATCATTGTCCCAAACTATCGATAGATAAAGCGGTGCTCTCTGGGAAGGGTAGAACAATAAAGAGATGTCTTGGCTGTACCCAAAGACTCATTTCCTTGCTACTTTATTTGCATATTGAAAGATACTTTCTGCTTCAAGAATTCCCGAATAACTGAAACCCGAGGAAAAGGCACAGGTAGGTTTTAGGAGACATGCCTCGGCACAGTTTGCTGGCAGCGGGGCCTAGGACTTTGTATTCTGGGCAAATTTTCAGAACCTTGGTAAGGGCCCTGAAAACCTCCCACGTCCACGGTGCATTTACATACATTTTCTGTTTGTCTTAGGACCATCTCCAAGGATAGTCAGGAGGGCAAGTATTATTCTAATTTTAGAGACCAGTAAATAGAGTGACATCAAAGAGGTTAAGAGACTTGCCCAAGGTCATATTGCTAGGAAGCCGGTGGAACCAACACGCAGCCAGCACTGGCCTCCTAATTCCAAGGCTAGTGCTTTTCCTAGGTCAATGCTCTGCTCTTCTCTGCCTTCTGGAGGAGAGATATAATGCCTTCACCTATTCCTCCCTCGATGATGTCCTCACCCATCTCCAAAGGCCCATCCTCCCTTCCCCTCTGACACCCTGCATTCTCTCAGCTGCATCACCTCTGTCTCCTGAGCCCCCCTAGGGAAGCCCGGGCTGAGAGGGCTCTCTGCAGGCCCGCCACACTCACCCCGCCAGGGCCCGGAGCTCCGCGGTGCTTTGCTGCTGGCACAGCTCGGGGAGTAGCTGCTGGGCTGGCTCAGGGCCCTGCTGAAGTGCTCATCCACCACGGAGCTGATGTCCCCCTGGAAGTAGGTGAAGAGGACGCAGCGGGAGTTGATGTACTCGGCCTCTGGTGGGCGCTCTTTCTCCGGGCTGCCTTCCTCCTCCTTGATGCTGGCGGGAGTCTGGCTGGAGAAGGAGGAGCTGCCGCTGCCGCTGCTGTGACTCGGGCTGGCCTTGCACTCTTGGGCTTCCTGCATCTTGGAGTAATAAGCTAGTTTCTGCTCAAAAGAGAGAAAGAACAGAGGAGTCAATTTCAAAAGAGAAGGCAGGTTGGGTTCAGATAACACGTCCTCGTCCTTCTCTTCCATCCCTGAGGGAACTGGCACCGGTGCTCATGGATGTGGGCTGCACCACCTGCCCCTGAACATGAGTGGGCTTCCCGAGAAGCGGGTTGCCTTCCTGATCTCTCTGTCTCCTGGCATTGCTGCCAGCTGCAGGCAGAATGCTGAGGTGTCAGGGTGAAGGCTGTGGAAGACGCCTGAGGAACCAAGTTATGGGCCAGAGTTGGACTACAGAGCCAGGCTCCGGGCAGGTATACAGAGTGAGCAAAAGCAGGCTTACATAATACAAATAAATAACACAGGAATCATTAAATAACAATGCAAGGATAAGCTCTGTGTTTTCCATACTCACAACTGCAAACCTACTTTTGCTTGCCCCTGTATGTATTTTTCAAAACCAGCCTCCATGACTAAAGGGCATCCGGTCCAGTGAGGGCCTGACTGCACCCTGTGAGGAATCCAGGGCAGAGACACAGGAGGCGGCATGAAGCATCCTCATGACGGAACATGACAACCCCTCCACACACCCAGGCTGCAAAGGAAGCCCGCTGCGGAATGGAAGGTTTGAAACGGTTCCACTTAGGAAAGAATCACGTGAGTGGACAGGTGAATGACATCCTGTTGTCATACGCATAAGTGGATATTTGTTTGGTTGCCCGTATACTTTCCATTTAAGAGTCCGTCTCGGTTTGTAAAGAGATCTTCCTTTCTGAGTAAAGGAAAACCAATGGGTCATGAGCATTTCCAGCCTTGCCATCTCTGGGCACACAGAGGAAACGTGTAATAAAAGGGAGCCTTGGAAAATCTTGGCCAGGAGGCTCTGTCAGGAGTGATTATCTGATAGTGATTTTAAAAGATGAAGTGCAACTGCTATACACACTTTCTTAGAAACGAGCAGTGGACCGGATGTAATGTGGAAGCATTGTGCAGGCAGAGATGGCCTGGCTGTGCAAAAATGAGCAGGGATCTCTATGCAATAGATTGGTCCAGGGCCAGGGAGGAGAAAGGAACAGACAGATAGGAAACTGCCCCACCACCGCCTCTTTGCCATAGTTCCAGCCTGGGAAGGAGTTGGGCTCAGATGCTGAAGTCAGAAGAGCCATTTAGCAATATCTCTACTTCCACCACATTCCCTCTTGGCTCTAAATTTAACACGGAGACTAGATCTCCTGGCTGGGAAGTGAGATGAGGAGGGGAAAAAACAAAAGCCAGATAGATATTTTGAATTTGCAAGCAGAATGGGTGAAGGTGTGGGCTCTGTCCCACACTGGGGTGTATTTCAATTCCCCCAAAGCCGGAGTGTAGGCCCTCACTTTCCAACCTGGTCAGGCCCCTCACAAGCCCCAGGATGTGATATTGGCCTTTTCCTGGACTACTGTCCTTAGTTTTCGCTACTTCAGCTGGGGAAACAGAGGGAACTGTTCAGCAGATACAGCCCAGAGAACAGACAAACAGGAGCAATGAAAGGAAACGTGCATTTGCAGAACCCGGGTTCAGTGGTCTTATGAAAAGTGGGCTTGTTGATGGCAGGGCAGCCCAATTCAGCGACCCCATCTCCGGAAGTGGAAGTATTATCTATGAAGCTTGCCTCTGCCCAGTCCATTGTACCCCAGGAATACCCCCAAAACTCTGCAAAGCGAAGATGATACAATCAATGCTTTCCCTATGGTACTCTCTGTAACGAATTCTCTGGTTCTGAAATTAATTGGCCCGATCGTCTGCGAATTGAAACGGGGGAAAAATCATGCCTTGTATAGGTTTGCAGGGATGCGAACGAGGGTCTTTGCATCTCCAACAGAAAGACAGAAACAGGCTTTTGCTTTTGTCGGGACCAAAGTTCGGTTTCCCGTGGGCAAGCTTCGCTCCCATCTACCTCCCTGCACCGCCCTGGGCTCAGACGAATCTGGGACCCTGCAGTCGCTCCGAAAACCACCCAGCAGGCGCCATCCTCCTATGCTGATTCCCTGCAAACCAGGACACGCATCAGTGGGACTTAGCTGCCTTCCGGGAAAGCAAACGAAAGGGGTGAACGCAATCCACCGGGTAGCCGAGCGGCGATCCCGGCATCCGGGCGGCGCTGCCGCCGGCCCCACGCCCCGACCCGAGCGGAGGCAGGCGCCCCGCACCTCGGGGTTCAGACCTCGGGGTTTGCAGAAGCCGGGGCGCCCCCCGGGTCCCGGCCCCGCAGCAGGCACGTACCTGGTGGTAGGGGGTGTAGGCGGAGGCGAAGTAAGGCTGGTGAGGACCGTAGACTTGGTACATAACATCCAGACAGCTCATGGCTCTCCGCGGCGGAACCGGCTCAGACGTTCGCCCTCCACTCGGGGTCGGCGGGGCGCGGGGATGCTGCTGCCCGGGCGGCCCTCGGACCCCAGCCCCGGGTCATGGGCGGAGGAGCGGGGGCAGTGCGCTCCGCGGCTCGGGGTCCCGCTGCTCGCCCCGCTCCCGCCCCTGCAACCCCAGTCGCGGCCGCGCTCGCCGGGACAGTCGCGCCCGGGCTCCGGCTCGTGGGCATTTAAACCCCCGCGGCCGTCCAGAGGGCGTGCTGACGCCACCCGGCGGCCGCGGAGGGGAGGGAGGGAGGAGGGGAGGGAGGCGGGAGGGCGGGGGCCGGGCCAATGGAGAGGGCGGGACGCGGACCCGGCTCCCCGGGGGCCTGGGCGCGGCGGGCTGCGCCGCCCGGTACGGAGCCCGGAGGCTTCGTGCCGGGAGTGCGGGGACTCCGGCCCGGCTGAGGCGGAGGGACCGGGGCGGAGGGAAGCGGGGAAGCGGGAGGGGGTTATCACATTAGGAAAGAGAGAGAAGGTTGGTGCGTGATGGGGAAAGGCGCTGCGGGAGGCCGCCGCCCCGCAGCCGGGGGAGTGCGTGCGCGCGGGGGGCGCAGGCGGGGCGCTAGGCTCCGGGTGCCGTGCTGGCCGCTCTCCCTGGGAGTCCCCTCCAGTGTTTCCCAAAGTGTGGTACCCCCCAGGGGTACGGGAAGAGTTTGGTGGGGGGTATGCACTGCACCGTGCTTAGCTGCGCCTAATTCTACGTTCGCATGAGTGCCAGGGGTACTCAGCGTTAGGAAAATTATAGAAGGGGTACACATATGTCAAAAGTTTGGGAAACACTGGTGATACCGGCCCGCAGGCTGGGTGTCCCAGGGGCCCGGGCCCCCCTCGGACCCCAGAAGAGCGCGCGCTGCGGGGAATGGCAGCCCCTGGAGCCCGCACCGCTGTCCTGCTCCCCATGCGGGCCCTTCTCCGGCCCGGAGCCCCTCTCGCCGGCCCCCAGAACCGGACTCCGCTCCGGGGGCGGCCCCTCGGCCCCTCAGGAGTCCGATCCCGCCCTCTGCTCTCGGGTGGGCTCCACCCGAACCCGCCAGGTTCGCGGGCTCCCGCCCCCTCCGGCTTCGGCCCGGCCTCCGGCTCCTGCGGGGCGAGCTGCTTTCGAGGAGTCCGAGCCCTCCCGGCCCCGGCCCCGGCCCCGCGCGTCCTCCGCGGGCGTCCCGCAAAGGGCCGGGCACTTTGAGACCAGAGCTCTCGGCTCCTGGGAGTCTCCCGGGCCGGGCACGGAGGTCAGGGAGGTCTCCCGCTGCCTCTCAGCCCACCCCGCAGCCGCTGCGGTTTGGTCTGATTCCAGAGAGGTGGCGGGTGCGCGCCATCGTGAGACCCGCAGCCACGCCTCTCCCTGCCCGGGGGTGTTCCTGGCGCCACACAGGGTGCTCTCAATCCTCCCCAAGCACCGGGCACACCCCGCGTCCCCAGGAACGGTGGTCACGAGCTGAGGAATGAATTGGGCCAGGCTCTCCGATGCTGGTCAGGTGGAATAGCAGCGGCAAGACTCGGGGTGGCGGGGGCGGGCGTGGGGTGGGGGCAGAGTTTGGGAGCATTGAGGGCCCAGACCCAGGGAAGAGGCAGGTGGATTACTGATGTCATCGGCCAACGCCACTTAGTCTCGAATTTAAACGCAACAAAAAGTCTGACGTCGGTTCTCAGGCTCTAAGACTGGGAACAAATGCACACGCATAGAGATACGTTGGTTCTGAACTATGATTATTTTAAGTAAATTGTCTTGGAGTGGAGTTTTTGGTTTTGCCCGAATTATATAAATGGGCAAATGGCTCCATAGCTTCAATTCCGTTTCTAAATGGTGAGCCCGCCTGGAGAGGTTCTTTCCTTCCTTCCTTCCTTCCTTCCTTCCTTCCTTCCTTCCTTCCTTCCTTCCTTCCTTCCTTCCTTCCTTCTTTCTTTTTTCACAGAGAGGAAGAGAGAGGGATAGAGAGTTAGAAACATCAATGAGAGAGAATCATCGATCAGCTGCCTCCCGCACACCCCCCACTGGGGATTTGCCAGAAACCAATGTACATGCCCTTGACCGGAATCGAACCGGGCCAAGACCTTTCCGTCCTCAGGCGGACGCTCTATCCACTTAGCCAAACCGGTATCGGCTGGAGGGGTTCTTTAATTAACTGTAATGTATCTATTTGGAAGAAAATTAAAATAAAAAACAGAGGCACCCCTTAATCCAGTTTCACTGAGCCTCTTCATTTAGGAGCCAGGCTTAGCTCTGCTGGTTTCTGGAGCCTCCCTCTCCACGCCCCGCCCCGCGCAGGCCTGAGCCAGGTCTCAGGTGCTGCAGGACCCCAGGTGCCCAGCACAGGTCACTGCGGGGGCCACACTCCCCCCTTCACTCAGGCCCCGCTGTCAGTCAGGACAGAGGGCCTCTCCCTGGGGCTCCTGTGGGGACATCGTGACCCGCAATGCTGCGCGGAGAGGGGGCGCAGGCTGTGTGCACGCCTAGCGTCGGATGCTGGGCTGTGGTCCTCACCGCCCGTCCCTCATACCCCTCGCTTGGACATTTTTGTTTCCCTTCGGCCATGCCACTGGAAGAATTCTGATTTTCCTACAAAGTCCGGGGGGGGGGGCATGAAGACAGGACGATAGGAGCAGCCGTTTCCCACATCTGGAAGGAAGGAAGTGAAGAGGCTATGGCTCAGTTGCCCAAGGCTGCTTTCTGTTCCCATTCCTCAGCCTCTGGCACTGGAAACCGTTTTTCCAAAGCCTCGCCAAAGCCAAGGAAGGTGTTCGCTGTCTGCACGGGAGTCAGCAGGAGCACAGGCAACTGGGTGGGCATCCGCCTTGAACCGGGACAGGAACGCCTTTTCCTCTCACCAACTCCAAGAGAAGGGAGGAAACAAACAGCCCGCACTTTGGGAGCATGCTCAGCCCTTTCTGCAGCTCCGAACTGCTGTCACTCACAGGAGGCGGCACTTTGATGGGATCCCCTCTTCTTTCTACCCCGAAGTGGAAAATAAAGCACCTCTCAATTTAAACCTCCTCCAGCCATTCAAAACACCAGGACTCCAACACCGCACACAAGCCAGGTTTGGGCTCAGGCCCTTGGGAAGGGGCTACGGGATAAAGGGAAAACTGGGGGGCAGGTCTCTCTCTGCCCCTCACCCCGTTATTGTAGAAGAGACTGCAAACCAAACAGTTACATTTCCTAAAACTTGGGTCTGGTGGACAAACATACCAGCACCCCCAGGATAAACGAACTCGATTACATCGAATCCAGTTTCCCTTTAACTTCCCAAATGGGCAGAAGCAAGATCAAAACTTCTTCTAGAAATGAATTCAGTTTATGAAGCTTCATAGCAATTTAATAGCTGCCAGTAGGGCGTTTGCCATGTGAAAATTAATTCCACCAAAATTTCCTTTTAGTACCCTAATTGTAGTGTGCAATTCTAAGACTATCTAGAACTGTGAAAATAAAAGTTACTTTTACTCTCAAAGGTCATATATGATGTTAAATTACTTTGTAATGACTACATTACCTTCTGCATTTTTCTGTCTACCTTGCCATCTTCTGAAGACTGCAAAGCAGCAGTGTGGGAAAGATGTGCGAATAGAACTGATTTGGGGAACTGACCTGCAACCAGCCCTGGCCCCTCCGGTTTTGTAGGTCATTGAGTGTTGGCATTTTATGCTGCCTTATTCTGCTAAGCAAACGGGATGGACACAGTCATAAGCTCATAGACTTTTATGTATGTGTCTAAGCCCATTTTGCCTGTTTTACAGAGCAGAGATGTGTTTGGACTTTGAAGAGTAGCTGACAAGATTTTGTGGATTCAAACTATTAATAGTATCAGCTGAAAATATGTCTGCAAAGGCCAGCTTTTAAGGCATGGAGTGTCACTTAGCAATAATACTCCAGTAATTAATGGAGAGGCTGGATGGTGATTTTATTTTAAAGGAATAAAAAAGAGAAATTCCTGTACTCTGAAACCTCACAAAAAACGCTAAGTGGGGGAACTCCAGTTTGACTTAGTGAAAAAACAAACAAACAAACAAAAAAACAACAACAAAAAAACCCCCACAAAAAACCCCCCACACACAAGGAAAAGAAGGTTCAATTATTTTCATACAAACTTAGAGTAATTCTTACCAGTGTTTTCAAGTAAAAATCCTCCCTGGTCTGGCCTGATGAATAGTTGATACTGCTTTGGAATTATTGACATATATTTGATTATTATAAGAATGTTAAACTTTTCTCCTTTATATTTTAAAGATATTTTATGTCAAGTATGTCATCTTCAGCATAGGTGAAATAACCACAACTTTCTGTATTTAATTTTTTCTTGAATTCATGCTGACATTAATGGTCAATTCTAAGAATGCAAATATATTTAATACCATATTTATCTTTTAGAAATGTTATTTTTAATGAGTCTCTATAAAATGCATAGTATAAAGACATTACTATACAAATTAATTTATATGACCCACACTTTTAGAAATGATACCAAGTGCTGAAATAAAGATTTGGAATAGATGTGTGCAAAATATCTTGGCTTGTTAGATTTTTACAAGGGAAGAAAAGTTAGAAAATTATATTCTCTGATATTTACTTGGACACAAAGAGTTAAGTTAAAAAGCACGTATTAATTATTTATTAGTGGGAAGTAGTGTTTTTTTGTTTTGTTTTGTTTTGTTTTTCATCTTTACCTGGCTAGAAAACTCACTTTATTTGCCTTACATTTCTGACAATGGGGGAAAAATTTTTTCTGAGACACACAATCTGGTCAGGACAGCCTTGAAATTAGCATATGTATGAACCGCCTTTGGAAAGACAACTAGAGGAATCTGCAGGTTCAGAACTTGGAAGTGAGGATTTAAACTGTTGGCTTAGGTATTTGACAGTACTGTTGTTGATCCACTCCCACAGTTTTGTTTATAAAAGCCATTTCAGCAGGATGCTGAGGGGATTAGAAGGAGGCCAGGGCGTCACAGAGGTGAGAT